AAGCAGGGGAGGGGTGAAGGCGTACTCACACAGCGGTGGCATAGCAGCAAAATCTGCGACTTTGCTGAAATGAATGCCACCCCGTCCGGTCACATAGCGGCAGCGAGTCACAAAAGACACGCGCCGTTTGGTATATGTGCAAACCAACAAAAATAGCAGTAGTGAAAGGTAGTGGGTGATTTAAGCACTCGTAATTAGCAGAACATTGTCTCAGTTTGCTCGTCTTGATGTGAAGGTGAAGCCAAAGCGTGATCCGTGGTATAACTGACACCGTCAGATCATCAATCAGATCATCAATCCAACGGTTCCAACCGAAGAATCAGCCCCCATACGTAGCCGTACGACTTTGCGGAGACCTGTGTTTTTGTTGGTAAACAGCCGCCTGGGCCTGGTCACTGCGCCCTCCTCTGTCAGGAGGGTACCCCTTCCCCCGAAGTAACGGGGCTATTTATTTTGCCGAGTTCCTTAGAGAGAGAGTTACCGTCTTCCCCCGAACACAACGCATCCTCATTTTGGCTGTATCTGGCCGGAAATATAGTATGCATTCAATTTAAGGGTGCGTTATGTTCGGGGGAAGACGGTAGGTATTCTCTACCTGCCTACCTGTGTCGGTTGAAGGTACAGGCACCCACTTATTATACTGTATTAGTCTTCCAAGCTTTTCTTCTGGTGTAGGCCGTGCAGTTTCCACATGCCATTGGATGCATGAGAGGTGAGGAGAAGAAAAAAAGAAAAAAAGAAAAAAGAAAAAAAAGAGAGACCAAGCAAACTGATAAATGGTGGAAAAGGCACCCGTTGAAACAGGCGCCTTGCGCTTTTCTGGAGACAGAAGGGGCGTGTTTCAACGGGCGCCAGCTCACGGGTGTAGTAATGACAAACGAAGTGCGAAAAAAAAAAAAAAAAAAAAAAAGAACTGTTGCAGTGGGCGTCGCTCCACGACTCTCCACATGCACAAAAGACAAAAAACATGGCGTGTATCTTTCCATGCTGTATTGGAAGATTCACTCACTCTCCAATGACACAGCTGCTACACAATTTCGAGAATGAGGGCCTCGTTCCACTAGTCACCAAATGTGCAAGATATATCATGAATCTGTCGCTGGAACATGGAAACATACATCACCATGTGTTTTGTCTTTTGTGCATCTGGTGAGTAGTGGAGCGTGACTGACTGCAGGTACACCAAAGTGCCTCGCTGCACTGGTCTCCACCCGGAGAACATGGAAAGATACATTATCATCTCATCTTTTTTGTAGTAGAAGAGGTCTATCGTGAGTATGCTTTTTTTTTTTTTTTTTGGCGAGTATGCTTTTGTTTTCACGATAGACCTCTTCTACTACAAAAAAGATGAGATGGTAATTGTATCTTTCCATGTTCTACGGGTGGATTCAGTCTCATTTTGCACATTTTATAACAGTAGAGGCTCTTTCTGACAGCCTGCCTCCTTGCCGTGAGAGGCAGGGATGACGTGAGTGTGCCATTTCTTTCCATTCAGTCCTCAGGCTTGCACTTCGTGAATGTATCTGCCTGCAGTTACGGCAACGCGAGGGGGTGCTGTAGAGTGAAATGTGGATGACGTGAGTATGCCATTTCTTGCCATTATGGCCTCAGGCTTGCGCTTCGCGAATGTATCTGCCTGCAATTAAGGCAACGTGGGGGGGTGCTGTAGAGTGAAAACGAGAAATAGACGGCCTCCTCTCCTCTTTGTTCCTTGGGCTGATAGTATGTCTAGCACAGAGGGCGGTACCGGTACCACCCTGAATGGTCCCACTGTTGGTATCCGTCCCTTTCGAGGCTCGGCAAAATTCAAATTTAGGCTCGTACATTTAGCCCCCGGTGTACTGGTGGTTTAAATCTCTATTGCTTTGTCCAACAAATGATCAAGAAGTTAAAAAAATAGAGAATTTGTGAATTGATGTTTTTTTTTTAATGTTTTTATGATTTTTTTCTCCCCGGAGAGGGGATGAGAGCGTAAGAAAAAACTTGTGTGTAGTCTTCGAAAGAAAGAGGAAAGAAGGAAGTTAAGTCAGGATTAGGAAGTGAATTCATGATTCTCAGCCTTTCTCGGCCTGTTGGCTAAAAATAGATCAAGTGTTGTATCTCTCTTCTTTGATCGGTTTGATATCCGATCTGTGGTCCATCGCCCCACATGTAAAAGAAAAGAAAAAGTTTAATAATGATTCTTGGGATTGAACAAAAGAAAATAAAAGTATAATAATGATTCTTGGGATGAAACGTAGCACAAGTATAATAATGATTCTTGGGATGAAACGTAGCACAAGTATAATAATGATTCTTGGGATGAAACGTAGCAAGAAGTCGTCATGAGTTGTAGCAAGGAGTCGTCATGAGTCGTCGTGTGTCCCCACTTGTCATGAGTCGTCGTGTGTCCCCACTTGACACGTGGCAAAGAATGTTTCTTCGTGAAGATACGCTTTGGTTATTCTATAGAATGTAAGGCATTGCACCTTCATGAAGATCTGTAGAGGAAGGGTGGGTGGGGTCTTCAGAGGGGTTCAGATGGACAATCAAGTGGCTGAGTACTGTGGATAACTGCCATTGGTCTAGTATCCCGCCTCCACAACAACCTGGGCTTCAAAAAAAAAAAAAAAAAAAAAAAAGAATGGAAGGCATTGGAAGCAGCAATAATCCATTGAGGAAGCCAAGGTTTATTTTTTCCTGGGAATTGATGTGCACACCTCTCACCTCTTTCCCATGGGAGTCGCGGGAGTCGTTCGGTATGTGCAAAGTTGCAAACCAATATAGCAGCAACAAATCAGTGAGAGGAGTGACGCTAAGGGCATGCTCACACTTTGATTTTCCTGAATGTATTTGACCGTAGTTGTTGCCAAGTTCGTTCAGGAAAGTCACAGAAATTGGGGTGTCTGTTCTTGCAGCACCTCTATGCACCTCCGATGAGCGCGCCCTTGTTCTACTCACCTTTCCGATATGCACTTGTCTCACTTTTCACAGTTGCCAGTTGTGGGCTGGATTTTCCTGAATGTCTTTGTCCGTAGTTGTAGCCAAATTCGTTCACAAAAGTCGAGGTGTCTGTTCTTGCAGTACCTCTGTGCACATTGGACGGATGGGAGGCCCCTGGTTCTCCCCGCCGTCATCCCGTATACACTTTGCTTCACTTTTCACATTTTTTGGCGAGTCGTGGGCTGAGAGTCCACAACCACATTTTTTGCTACAGTCACGTCATGCTATCACATTGGTTTGTTTCCTACCCTTGCTTGCCTATCCTTTTTTTTTTTTAATAAGAAAAAAGCTGTCTTCTCCTCATATGGGGGACAGCTGTAGTTACTACGCCATGCTCTTCGCTCAATTTTTTTCGGCCTCACACTAGCTTTGAAGATCTCCTTATATCCATGTACTAGTCTATCCACAAACGCGACAAGCAGGGGTCTATATCATGGTTGCGATGCACCAGTGCGCAGTGCGGCGCGGGCTGGTGCGCAGTGCGCTGTGTTGGAATGACAGCACACGCACTGTGCACCGAGCGCTGAGGGAGGTGAACCCTGTGTGCGAAAAAAAAACAAACAAAAACCGTGCCCCACAGAGAGAGAGAGAGAGAGACCAAAGGGTCCCCTTGCATTGGAATGACAGCGCACACACTGTCCGCCGTGCGCTGAGGGAGGTGCACCCTGTGTGAGAAAAAAAAAACGTGCCCCAGAGAGAGAGAGAGAGAGAGAGACCAAAGGATGCCCTTCACGTCAATTCAAGGCCCCCTGCAGGTACCTCGAATGGCTCCTACAATACATGTGGAGTCATTGAGAACCACTGCTTAAGCGAGAAGGATGGCCACGTCATATGTGGAAGAGGTGGGAGCAGACCACCAATATATGCTGTGGGTTCGAGTTCAGGGATGTAGCTCGGCACAGTTATGGGTCACGAATTCAGCTGGACTGTGTTCGTGTCTCCACGTGATCGTCAGGGCCTCCCTCCTCACCACTCACCAAATGTATATAACATCACTAGAATGAATCTTCTGCCAAAACATGGAACCATACATTGCCATATGCTGTCTTTTGTGCATGTGGTGCGTAGTGGAGCAGGCCCCACTGCATGTATTCATAAGGAAAAAAAACACCAAAAAAAACGAGAGAGCTACAGGCATCATCTTCATCCTAAGTTCCTAACCCATAACTGCCAACATGCAGACCTGAATCCCAATCTTCAGCATATATCTATATATTGGTGGTCGGCTGGCCATGCAAAAAATACATTTTGTAACTTCTGCAAAGCTCTGTGGGGCAGGTCGCGCTATTGGGCAACTACCCCCTTGTTGCAAATTTCCCCCACCACTGTGTGGGATTTGCAGAAGGGAGGAGGAAGGCCAGTTTCCACACCCCGCCCCAAAAAAAAAGTTGGAACGAGCCCTATTTTCATGATTCGCCATTTTGAGACTTTTGGGGGAAGGGCCTGCGGAAATTGAAATTCTGCAGCCCTCGCCCAAGTAAAGTTTCGCAGCGGGGGCGCGGCCGGTTTCTGAACTCGCATGGTGAGTTGAACATTTTTGCCGAGTTCGGGGCCCTAAGAAATTACAACCCCCCTACCATTTTTTTTTTTTTGGGACCTAAATTTTCCAGTGTGGTGTAAGCGGTGTGCAAATCCGCGCACCGAGGTGCGCCGCAACTATGGTCTATAACCTATCTCGAGGGAGTACCAAGGTCTCCAAGCAACCAATTCTGACAAAATCCGGTCTTATCAACTCAGCACACCTAGGGCTATGGTTCTTCGGGAGGATTTCCGGTCCTACTGATAGCAGCCGGGGCCTATACAGACACACAGAGAGAGAGAGAGAGAGAGAGAGAGAGAGAGAGAGAGAGAGAGAGAGATGATGAATTGGTCGTGGTTGGTGATGATGATGACCGCAGAGTTAAGGCATGCGAAGTGCGTTGTCAGTAACTCTGAAATTATTGAGGGGGGGTGGGGCAGGCATGGAAAAGCAAGATTTTGATGGTACTAATGTGGGATTTTGTGTGATGCTTCTGAAGGTTAATCGATACTACAGAAGACTCTGCTCCAGCGACCCACTATGGGAATGGCGTGCTGTAAAGATGGGTGTATGCAAAGCCGCGGAGGAAAGGAGCTGGATGTGGAACTACATGGCGGCGGTGCTGGGTGTCATTCATGCTAAAACGTTTGATGACTCAAATTCTGATCGAATGGTTGAGCTGAGAGGCGATATCTGGATTGGTGACCCGTAAGTGATCTTTCCTCATGTTTCTCTCCCTCTCTCTGTTATTCTCCCTCTCCTTTCTGACCCTTGCTGTCTCCCTCTTACTATCTCCCCCCCCCCCCCCCCCCCCCCCCCCCCCCCCCCCCCCCCCCCCCACCCCCCCCCCCCCCCCCCCACACACACACACACAAATACCTCTGGACTCGTCCTCTCACGCTGTCACTTTTCCTTTCGTCTTTCTTTATCCTCTCGTTTTTGTTCTGGCTCTCTTTCTCACTCTTGATCTTGCTTTCGTTTTTGGCTTTCCCTCTTTCTGTTGAAGCTTTTTCGCCTTTTCTCTTCCCCCTGCTGTGCTCCCTCTCTCTCTCTTGCCCTTTCTCATGCCGTCTCTGTTGACCTTTCCCACTCTTGTCCTTCCGCTTTTATTCTTGCTCTCTCTTGTGCTTTCTTGCTCCTCACTCACTTTCGTTCTCTCTCTCTCTCTCTCTCTCTCTCTCTCTCTCTCTCTCCCCCCTCTCTTGCTTTTGCTCTTCCTCCCGCTGTGGGTGTGCCCTCTCTCTTGCTCTCTCTGTTGACTTCTCCCACTCTTGTTCTTGCACTTTTGCTCTTTCGTGGTCGTCTCATTCTCACTCTTGCCTTTCTATCACTCTTGCCCTTGCTCTGATAATTCTCTTGCTTCTGCTCTTCCCTTCGCTGGGTGTGGCTTGAGCTCTTGCACATGTCTATGCTTCTGCTTATCCTCTCACTCTGACTCTTGCGCCCTGGCTCTCAGTATGTTCATGATCCTTTACCCTGATGCTGTGTTTATTTCCGCTAGTTTGAGGGAAGAATGACTGTTGTCTTAGTTTTGAAAATGTCGTTCCGAAGGGATGCTGTCCCAACTTGTCGGGTGGGGGTTTGGTACAGGAGGATACTGTCCTCTGATAACGTGCCATCTCCGTATCTTAACAGAGTGGCACCCATGTCATCACGACCATATGTGTAAGTCCCTGGTGACAGGGGTCTGGAATGCTGTAGTAATGGAAGGAGCTGATGCCACCACTTATACATACACCTGAATTGTATGCCCATGTAACCGTCAAACCACCAGTATGTTTCCCAGCCATTTTCTCTGATGCGCCCGCTCATGTGCTGCGACTTTCGGGGCTCATCCTGCCCCACAGAAGCGACTGTGCACACGAGCTTTAAAAAAAATCGCACCTGTCCCAGTTTCGCAAACCTGGGGTGCGGCTGATATTCGTCTTGGGAAAAGAGGCTTGGAAGTACTGGTGGTTTTAAAACAGATCATGTGCTCAAATCCACATGGAGTCAGATGGATATAGATTCATATAATAACGTTGCCGCCGGTGGAGCGGAGGCTCTTTCTTTCAATGTGTACTGTTTCCCTGCCCTAACAAATTTGAACCATTACGGCCTAAACTTTGTGTGTGGCTGCCAGCCCTTTCAAATGTGGACACCAAGACTTTCTGTAGCCCTGTGTAAATTGGACTGCTCTCCATGCCCTGCACCATGATCAAGCTGTAATGATTGCTTGTGCAGCACATTTCCACAGGGAGAAGCGATGCGAAGTTTCTCTCTCTGCACAGCAGTGCAGCGTCTTTGTCGCTCCCTGTTTTTGCATGTACTATAGGTGCTGCTTTCAGCTGCGGGTACGAATGTGAAGTACACTGCCCTCTTCGGAGTAGAACAAATCGTAGCTGTAGCTTGAACTGCAGATGATTCCAATGAATGTAACGACTTCAAATGCGGAGGAGCTTAAGCAGTGTGGACTTGACACACTCCCTCTCTTTTTCCTTCTCCTCTGCTAGTGGCAGTACGTTCCACTTCTCACGCGTGGCCACTACCTTTCTTCCTTCCCCCTTGCCCCCTTTGCTGCACTAGGCCCAAGCTGTACCATTTGTGTGTGCGATGCAGCACAGGAGTTAACACAGTGCCAATGAATTGCACTTGCCTGGAGCGATCTCCTCATGGGGCAAAAGAGAACCCCCCAGTTGCTGTGAGAAAGACACTTTCCCACAGTCAGTCCTGAAAAAAAAAAAAAAAAAAAAAAAAAAATCAAGGTTACATAGGCAAAGAACGGAGACAGAACTAGAGTCCAGTTACAGACGTGTGTCCAGAATCTCCGAGCACATGTTGACATCAACATGTCATTCTCTCCCTCTCTCTCACACACGTACACATGCGTATTTTGGGATGTTGACAGCACACGCTGATACACAGCGACACTCCACAAGGAGACCCCGTAAGAAAAATTTGAGCTGCGTTGGTGCAGCATGTGCTGCGCATGCAGCAGATTGTGCAGATCGTGCAGATGCCTGCTGCAGTACCTGCTGCATGTGCAGTACCTGTTGCATGTGCACCATAGCAGCTGCAGTACCTGCTGCATGTGCAGTACCTGTTGCATGTGCACCATAGCAGCTGCATCTGCACTAGAGCAGGTGCAGTACCTGCTGCATGTGCACCATAGCATCTGCACCATAGCAGCTGCATCTGCAGCATCTGCTGTGGCAGATGCAGCAGGTGCAGTAGGTGCAGTAGCAGCTCCATCTGCTTCGAGATCAGGGCCCAATATGGGTAGTGGATCTGATGGTCGAGATTGGGCCCATATTTTTTTTACAAGTTTAGATGCAATCAGACTCGTTTTCAAACACACTTTTCACACATGTAAACAGTAACGCAGCATACTGGCGACATGCG